AGCATTATCCTCACAGGCTGCTTGCCATGGCTGTAAACTTTAAGTCTTGTTAGATGACACCAATTTAAACAAATTCAATGTTTGTGTTTCACTTCTCCTGCAAGAATTCATGACTCTGAGCTTTCCTTATAGTTGATTCAAAATGTGGGACACCAGTCATCACACCAAAGCGTTGTTTTGGTCGGATCGTGGGAGGCTGCGTGTCTAAACCTCACTCGTGGCCCTGGCAAATCAGCCTCCAGACCACGTGAGTAGAACAAAACTTGCAAAATTTGATAAAAGTATAAGTGATATTGGGTTTCTTAAAAGATGATGCCCCACTTTGTACCTCTAATGCCTAAGTCTTCAACAAGGGGTCCGGGACACCCAGGGGGTCCTCAGAGTTACTGCAGGGGGGGCCCCCAAATTATTGTTTGATGTTTTTTTTTTTTAATTTGATTTTTTTTTTTTTTCCAAAAATTAAAATATGTCTGAAAATATACATGAACTTTACCTTTTGCAACAACTTATCTTTGTGAAAATGGAGTTTCCTCCCTCACCTACCTGAAAAGCAAATACAGCTTAAGACTGCAGCCTGAGGCTGATATGGCCTTCTGCCTGACCTCCACCTGCCCAATTTAATATGCAATGCAATTTATACTATATATGTAGGAAGGGGTCCCTGCTCCATCTTTCTTTCAGCTAAGGGGTCCTTAGCCTAAAAAATGTTGAAGGCCCCTGCTCTAATGTATACAATGGGGTCACAGAAGTAACCATCAGTTTCTTTCTATTTCACCAAGCATGACCTTCTTTTATTGTCACTGTCAGAATCTACTGACTAAATCTGGGATTACTTTCAAACCATTACAGTTACATAATTTTGCTAAAGGAAGATTGTGTTTTTTTCAAGAGTTTTATTCTTTAGTGTGGTGAAAAAATATATTCAACTATCATGGCAGAAACACTTAATATTACTGCCCTGAAATTAAAAAAAAAACAATAGAAAATAGTATTAAGTATTTTTGAAACAAATACACAATGGGTCTCATTCATGAAACGTGAGCAGAAAGAATTTGTGTGTAAACTGTTCGCAGACGGAAATTTACGTGCATGTCCGCATTCATCAATATTTTCTCCGATCTTTTCATAGTTACTAACAAAATCTACTCTTGCTCCTGACCACTCGTAGTGCTTGTGTAGATTTAGTAAAGCACATAAATATTGCTTGTCACTATTGGAAATTACAATTTTAATTCGTATTGCGCTCTGTTATGTACACAATACACAGATGCCTTTGAAACACATAGCTAATCTAAACATGACAAAATATTAAAAATATAACACATTTAGTTAAATTAGTTGGCAATTAGCAGGTTTAAGATCCAGATTAGGTTCATGATTGTGAATTATCTATGTAAATCAACTGAACAGATTACACGTTCTTTCTACATGTTGAATGATGATAATAAAAATATCCGTAAGGACAGCTGGATCACAGCCTCTTCGGCCTCGGTGCCTGGGTTCAGCAGGGGCAGCAGGAGCAGCAGGTGGTGGAGCCACGAAGGAGCACGCGCCAACTGAAAGAATTATTTGAGACAACATGTTTTTTGTTGTTGTTGTTTTTTTGTGGCTTTTTGATCATTTCAATGAATAAATCTGATTTGAAAAATGTTTAATTTACGTTGTATAAAACAGAGCTTTAGGCTATTAAGATTCAAATAATTTGAAGACGATGCATACAAAACTGCTGTAGGCTATATGTTATGCGTATCATTTGTTAAAATAAATGTTAAATAGCTCTACATTCCGATAGCCATCACTGATTTAGAGTTTATCCATTACGCACAAAACATCTCTGGTTTCCTGTTCCCACTTCATTCAAAACCCCACAAATGAATCTTTGCTTTGCCTATCCCTGTCACACCACTACTAACTGAAGAAAATAAAATGTTTTTTCTTAAGTCCACTTCACCCAAAATTATTTCGATCTCCGTTTCGGAAAATTTCTTTATTCTTTCTCTCTCTTTCTTTCTTTGCGCCATGACTGACAGGTCGACTGGATGCACCTACACCTCCTTATATGGTGGTCACTGGCTATTCATGGGGGGGGATTTATGCTAATTGCTGATTACCAGGAGCGCGCTGTCACTTTACGATGGATTGGCATTCATGGTCATACACACGTGTTTATGATCAAATCTGAGTTTCTCGCGGCGTTCCTGAATCCGGGATAGGTTTTTAGTAGCATAGGCTTTTATGTGCAAATCTACACACAGATTTACTCACTTTTCATGAATGAGACCCAATGTGTGCAAAAAAAAACAAAACAAACAACACGTGGAATAGGGCCTTCTCCGTATGTTGATATAAATGGCTCATTCTAACGTAACAAAAACATGATGACTCTGATTTCAGATTATAAACAAATGAAAAGTTAGTTATGAATATCATGTTCCATTTCTGTGAATAGATGCCCCTAAATCCTACAGGCTGGACCTTTAACAGTGGATGCTGGCTGATATGTTACAATATTTTAATTATCTTATTTTATTCATTAATATTTTCATTATTTAAATGGGTCATATTATATTTATCTTTCTTTTTACTGTTGTCTCTTTCTACCAGTTGGGGATTTCATTTCTGTGGAGGAAGTCTGATTCACCCTCAGTGGGTCCTTACTGCTGAACACTGCCTGGGCAAGTCAGTGAGATGATTATTAAAAAAAAAAAAAAAAATTAAATCCAGCTAACCACTGTACAGCTTGTGTGTAGATTTATAAACGTGTTGTGTACTGTAGGTCTGCAGACCCTTCATACTACAAGGTACTCCTGGGTGTCCACACAAAGTCAGGCAATGAGCCATCGCAACAGGAAAGGAACGTGGAGAAACTGATGCGCGCGCCCAACAATGCCGACATTGCTCTGCTCAAACTGCAGAGGTAAAAACTGGACTGATCCTCTTACTGTCACCACTGGTTCAAATATTAATAATCATAGTGGTTCTGATGCAATTATCCTTCCTTAACTCACTATTGCTACTCAGTGGTGGAAAGTCACCAAGTACATTTACTCAAGTACTGTATTTACACTTTACCACTGCTGGTGTTCTGTGTGTTTTCAGCCCTGCAATGATAAACGACAAAGTCCTGCCAGTTTGTCTGCCAGAGCAGGACTACATTGTTCCTGCTAGAACTGAGTGTTATGTCACCGGATGGGGTCAAACCCAAGGTACAGTACGTTATGGTTGTCTGTGTGTCTTGTGCTATCTTTGTGAGGACTAATTTAAGTTGAGAGTGAGGTTGTTTTTAAAAGTGTGGACATGCTGGCCAGCCCTCACTTCTCAAATGTTTTCAGAAACATATTTTAGTGTTCTGTGTCGCTGTAAAATAAGAAAGTTGGTCTGGCTGGTGGGCATGCTTGGTATTTCAGTATGCTGTGTCCAACATGGTGGCCAGGTTACAAATATTCTTTTTTTTTTTTTTTTTAATTTTATATACTTTATTAATCCCCGAGGGGAAATTCAATTTTTCACTCTGTTGTCAATTACACACAGGTCCGAACACACACATGCACAAACTGGACCTATACATGCACTAAGTGGAGAGATGTCAGAGTGGGCTGCCCATGACAGGCGCTCTGAGCGGTGCTCAGAGCCTTGCTCAGGGGCACCTCGGCAGTGCCCAGGAGGTGAACTGGCACCTCTCCAGCTACCAGTCCACGCTCCATATTTTGGTCCGGACGGGGACTTGAACAGGCAACCCTCCGGTTCCTAACCCAAGTCCCTATGGACTGAGCTAAACAGTATTTTGATGTGTGTTTCTGAAAACATTTATGAAATGTGCAATGCAGCTACAGAATCTTTATTCATATTTGAACAGCGCTGCCTAGTTTGACAGTTTGACCACAGTTCACAATCCCTGATTAACAGCTGTGTTAGAGATGCCTCTGCCCCGGTAGATTCTAGTAAATACCATTAATAGCAGTAAAGGCAGTCGGAGGAGGGACGTGGATTTTTTCACAGACCATCTGTCTCATAGATTATAGTGACAGTTTGAAGTATTACAGTTATTTTCAGAAAAGTTACCATCTGTAGATTATATAATGTTGAAAAAAAGTAGTATACAATACAATACAATACAATACAATATACAGTATATTTCTCCAAAATCAAGGTAAATGATCTGGTGACTCTTTAGGTTGTCAATTGTAAAAGCCCAGTAAATAGAAATAATCCCACATTCAAGCCGAAGTTAACAGATTTTGTTACATTTGTTGCTATTTCAATTAAAGATACCCTAAATAGTCTAAAACTATAAACTGGATAACTATGTTGAGGTGTGTTGAAGGTACGGGAGGTGAAGGTGTCCTGAAGGAAACTGGGGTTCCTGTGATCGAGAACAAGGTCTGTAATCGTCCATCGTACATGAACGGCTTAATCAAGGACAATGAATTGTGTGCTGGAATCAATGAGGGAGGAATGGACACCTGCCAGGTATGACAAACTACAAAAACTGGGGACCATCTTAGAAAACTACATAGTGCTGTCTATTGCTGTTGACCATGGTCTCTTTTGTGATACAGTAGCACTTTATTCAGTGTTAGGACATTACAGACCTGGAAAATAAAACATTACTTTTATTAAAATCTAAATATTATGAAGTAAAATCATTCAGCCGCATTGTTCAGTACAACTGCCCATTATGTTACTTCACTGGACTAAACTGTCCGAGCAAGTGGCTTCTTGTTCTAATGGACTCACAGAGCTCAGCACTTCATTAACTACATGTTATTGTAATCAACTGCAATGATTGCCAAAGGTGTAATATAAGACCCAGTGTATATGATTTTAGATATAAATCTTGATTTGTTTGTACATATTTTACCTACATCTGTTAGTGAATATACATTTTCCATATCTCTGTCACTTGTAGTTCTGTGATCTAAAACTTTTCTTCCTTCATGCTTCACTGGTGTTCTTTTCCAGTCTAGTTTTGGACTGAAAACTATTTGTTCTCCTTGCAGGGTGACAGCGGTGGTCCTCTGGTGTGTAATAGCCAGAACAGTTACATCCTGCAGGGTGTGACTTCATGGGGTGCTGGATGCGCCGCTCCTATGAGACCCGGCATCTACGCTCGAGTCTCCAAGTTTGTCAACTGGATCAACAAAGCCATCAATGAAAATTAAAAACCATCCACCTAAAAATAATCCAGTAGCTTCAGTCGCAGAAAGTGACATTGTGCTCTTTGAAGATACTTTAACATGCATGTACCATTCTGCTCCAACAAGACTACTTCAGTTTGTTTCCTGGTCTTGTCTGATGTCAACAGGTGTTTTGTTTTCTCTGTAAACAAAATAAGACAATCACATGTCTGGTTTTGGCATGTAAAGGTGTCTCTCTGTAAGAGCTGAAAAATAAAACTTAATACAAATGAAATGGGGGAGTCATGCTTTATAGAAAATGTATATAAAATACTACCTTGGTTTTAGCTGAGGTCAAATCTATACATACATGCATGGAGAGTCAGTCACACAGCTGTTGAGAAAATGTTACTAAGGTCCCGTTTATATGACAACGATTTCAACCAGGCCTGGAATTTCGTCATTTTAGGGGCAAGGCCACTTGGCCTTTCGCATTGTCAATTTTTTGAGGGCACAAAGGCCAAAAGCCAGGGCAGCAAGGCCATAAAATAAAACAATGATTTTAAGTCCACGTCCATAATGAATTTAATTTAAGGACTAACAATGTATAACTATCTGAGAAATGAATAAATAAAACAAGCTCAAGTAATAATAATAAGTATAATAAGTAATGTGATTTATTTCATAGTGCTAATAAACCCAATGTGTTTTAAATATACCAGGTTTATGTATTTATAAGCAAACAATCTTAAATATTAGGCCTAAATATTTTTTGAGTGTACATGATAAACTGATTCACTGAACAAGACTGGCTTACACTTATTTCTGATGTGTTGTTAGATAGCTAACAAACAAACAAACTTCAGCAGGGCTATTCAATTACTATTTCAACTGGGCCGCATTTCAAAACCAGATCATGTCGATAGGCCACTTTTTTTAGCAGCGAGCAACTGATCCGCTGTTTTTGTGCATACATATATATATTATACAGGCATGGCCCTCCTCAACATGATGCAGAAACAGACTAAAAGAGAGCTATGCACAAAAGCATAATAATGTACGTGTCGGTTTGTACATCCTGAGTTAAACCTGGCCAACGATCGATTCGCGTGCTTTCCTGAGACTAGCTTCTATTCCTGAGTGTCCAGAGTGAATTTTTTGCAGGAATTCTGGCCGCAAGATGCCAGGAATCAAAACCCTGTTGCCTTTGAATATCAGGTCACTGTCTGTGGTGAGTTCCTCCTTGTATGTCCAAAAGGGTCGCAGCCTTGGAGCTACTGCTCATGTGGTTGTGGGCCATCCCTTTGATATGTGAGTCTGTAGTGCACAACACAATGGGTGCTTGATTGTGGCAGCTCTGATGGACTCCAGCGAAGCTGTTGAAATGTTAATGTCTGTGAGGTGGCTGGCCTGTTGTAGGGCATCGGTAGCGAGGCCCATGGCATAGATGGTGGCAGGTGTTTGCATTTGAGCATGCTGTGTGCTTGGCTGTGTTTTCCTGGAAAGGAAATCTGCTACATGAAGGTCCTTCTCCTGTTTGTTTATCACCACCAGATGATATCTTTGGAGTCGCAGTAGCATTCTCTGCAGCCACTTTGGGGCTGTGAGGAGAGGTTTTTTGAAGATCACTTCCAGGGGTTTATGGTCACTGTGAACGGTGATGCCGTCTCTTCCTTGGAGATATTGGTCAAATTTGTCACATGCAAAGACAATAGCGACACACTCTTTCTCGATTTGTGCATATCTCTGTTTGGTGGGGGTCAGAGTCCTGGAGGCGAATGCGTCAGGTTGTCCATTTTGGAGAAGAGCTGCACTAAGTCCCGTCTCACTGGCATCACATTGCAGTGCGACCTCATCCTGCAGGCTGTAGTACTCAAGTACTGGGTGACATGTGACTAGTCGCTTCACAGTGTCTAGGGCAGAGTCATGTAGTGGCAGTCATGCCCACTCCACATCCTTGTCCGTCACGCGTCAGAGGGGCTCACACACATCTGAGAGACGCGGAAGAAATTTGGCAAGATAATTCACAAACCCCAAGAATCTCTGTAGAGATTTAACATCAGTGGGTGTTTGCATGTGCTGAATCGCTGCCACCTTTTCTGGGTCCGGCCGGAGGCCCCCTGTGGTAAGGAGATGCCCCATATATGGCACACTGGGCAGTTTCAGCTTTAGCGGCTAGTCGGCTAGTGCCTCCTCTGTAGTATCTCCACAGCCGTAGAGGAGAATATCATCCGCTATGACACTCACACCTGTCAAGCCTTGCAAGGCTTCATGGTGTCTGCGTTGATATTCTTCTGCTGCTGGTTTTATGCCAAAAGGCATCCTCAGCCATCTGAATCTGCCAAGCGAAGTCCAAAAGGTGGTCAGGTAACTGCTCTCTTTGTCAAGTTTGACATCAAGCATTGAGAATACCTTGGCTTTGGCAATGTCTGGTAGTATCTCCTCTATTGTTGGCATCTGGTAGTGTGACCGTTGAAGAGCTTTATTGAGCGCACTGGGATCAATGCAGGTGCGCAGCTTCCCTGGCTTCTCTATCACGACCATGTTACTGATCCACTGTGTAGACTCTGTAACTCTCTTAATGATGCCATTCTTTTCCATAGACTGTATGGCTTCAGTGACCTTGTGTTTGAGTGGAATGGGAATCCGTTGTGGTAGTTGTTGCACAGGCTTAATGTTGGGGTCCACCTCAAGGTGTAGTTCACCCAGGAGACAGCCAAGGCCCTCAAACACATCCTCATATTCTGATATGATCTTTTCTGTGGTGGTCGTGGCATCTATGTTTGCCCCTGCTGTGTTGTGTGAGCTTGCTGTGGATGCCATATCTACATAATGTATGACATGCTTCTCATTCACTGTCAGCAACTTGAGTCTTTTGCATGTTTTTGCAGAAAGCAGAGGCATTTGTGATGTGTGCATGACTTGGAACTTCAGGTCATACGTTTGTCCATCATGGTCGGCTTTTGAGATGACACATCCCTGTTGGTTTCACTAGTGAGCCATCATACAGCTTGATAGTGGCTTTGCTGGCTGGTAGATCTGGGTTGCTTTCTTGTGTGATGAGCTGCAGGTCTCTGAAGCTGATGACATCAGTTGTTGCCTTTGTGTCTAACATGTGATTGTGTGGCTAGGGTCATACGTCACTGGTTCAGTGATGTACGGTGTTAATTTGAGATTGACAAGCCACTTCTCATTTCCCTGTTCCACGGCATTGACATTTGATAGGAAGAACAATTCATCAGTCTCTTCTTCATCCTGCTCTGCATCCTTACCAAGAAAATTTACCTGTGGCCTCCGCTGAGCTTGCTTGCATACTTTTGCAAAGTGGTTTTCTTTCCACAGGCTTTGCAAATTATGCCGAATGCTGGACACCTCATTCTGTCATGCACCGCTCCACAATAACAGCAGAGATTATTTGGCCGTTTATTTTTGTTTGCATGTCCCGTGCGCTCCTTCTGATTATGTTGTGGTGCAGAGGAACGCATCTCTGAACACCTGTCACGAGCATGGAGGACACACGAGGCCTCCTTTGTTGCACTGTAAGGATTTACTTCTCATTTTTGTGGGGCAACTGTGTCCTTTTGGCACTGAACTTTCCATCGACTCTTGTCTGGACTCTGAAGTTCCCTTTTCCTCACAGTCAAAGCACATCAACTTTCTCTTCTAGTCTAACCTACAGTATTTCACATAAGTGAGTACACCCCTCCCATTTTTGCAAATATTTCATTATATCTTTTCATGGGACACCACTATAGAAATGACACTAGTAGTCAGTGTACAGCTTGTATAGTAGTATAGATTTACCTTCCTCTGAAAATTACTCAAAACACAGCCATCAACATGTAAACAGCTGGCAACATAAGTGAGTACACCCCACAGTGAACATGTCCAAATTGTGCCTAAAGTGTCAATATTTTGTGTGCAAACCATTATTATCTAGCACTGCCTTAACCCTTTTGGGCATGGACTTCACCAGAGCTCATAGGTTGCTTCAGGAATCCTCTCCCACTCCTCCATGATGACATCATGGAGCAGATGGATGTGAAGACACCTTGCGCTACCCCACCCTCAGCTTGAGGATGCCCCACAGGTGCACAGGTGAGTTTAGGGCTGGATACATACTTGGCTAGTCCATCACCTTCACCTTCCTCAGCAAGGCAGTTGTCATCTACTAGGTGTGTTTTGGGTCAAGCAAAAAAATGCTTGAAAAGATGGCGCCAGCATGTGCGGCTAGCCGTCTGTCAGCTCTGCTGGGATTAGTGTTTGCAGTTGTATTTAATATTTTCTGTCAAGATGTGTCTGCTCTCCTGGTGTATGATCACCAAGCACTTATTGATATTAAAACACCTCATGAGAAGCTGTTAATGTTTGATTATGGTGATCGGACCTCGAGCCCTCCACCATTCCTGGCATCCATACCAGCTTACCTGTGTCGCTCACCTGTCCTCTGGAAGAGGCGGTCCAGAAGACGAGGGAAACGAGGGGGTGTGCTGGTGAGAATCAAGGCTTACCTGAGGGCCGGCCTAGGGACTAATCCTCATCGTCTTCCCAACGGATTGTCTGCAGCTTGCTGGTCTATGGGAATCCGGTGGATCCGGCCTATTGTTCCCCCTCACCTGCCTGGGATCCTGCCTCACTCACCGGTGGAGATTCCTCTCTCTAGGCGGAGCCGGGTGCGCTATGGCGGCGTCAATCGCAGGAACCTTCGGGCGCTGGACCGCGCCGCTTTACCCAGACCAGAGGAAAAGGATCTTCACTTGGCTCTCTTTAACACACGATCGATAGCAAACAAGACGTTTTTGCTAAACGATTTCTTCGTCTCACGTAAACTGGATTTTATGTTCCTGACGGAGACATGGCTACATGTTGGTGAGTCCACCCCACTCTCGGAACTTCTCCCTCCCGGCTGTCTGTTTCTCAGCTCCCCGCGATTAACCGGCAGAGGAGGGGGGCTAGCGTCGGTGTTCATATCCAGCTTTCAATGCCAACAATCGTTACCTGGCTCCTTTTCTTCTTTTGAACTGCTGTTAAACTTAACATCTCCAATTCTGTGTGAGCTGGTCTATCGCCCACCTCACCTCAATAAGGATTTCATACAAGACTTTGGTGATTTTCTGGCAGAAACAACATTGAAATATGATCGGGTTTTAATTGTTGGTGATTTTAACATACATGTCTACTGTGAATCAAAACATCTGGCCAGGGAATTCATGAATCTTATTGACTCGTTTAATCTCACCCAGTCAGTGGTTGGGCCAACGCATGAAAAAGGACACACACTGGACCTTGTGCTGT